TAATAATCTAACAAATTTCCCCAAAATGAGGCCGTTATCTTTACAGTTTCAAGTACTTTAAAAGCTGCTTGAATTTCTTTCACAGGGAAGAATATTAATAGGAAACCATTATTCCGCTTATAAATCAGCATGTGTCCTTTGAAAGCAGCATATATTTCTAGCATATGAAGGATATATTCTTAATAACGCAGAATCTTTCATTTAAATAAAAAAATAAAGTTGCAATTTGAAAAGTTTCCATTACTTTAAATAATTGAATGTGAAACAAAGTTCCTGATGCACATGAAGGAACATAATTCATATAAAGAAATACATGAAGCTTCAAGTTGAATTCATTTCTCACTGTAATCTGCAGATGTTCAAATGATTTTTTAATTTGTTTAGTTCAGCAGTTGCCATGAAAAGATCCAATCTGTAGGTCAAGAAACTATTCAAGAAACCTGTTTTTACACTTATGCATCTTCAACAATTACATAGCTCAAGCACTTTGTCCTAAGTATGTGCAAGGCAAGTTGACAAATATGGGTAAAAGGAAACAGAAGGAAAAAACAATCCCAAATGACTAATAAGAGGAAAAAATTTTCATCACCAATAAAAATTTTCATCTCCAAAATGTACTTGTATTAGATTAGTCATAAATACCATCTTAATATATGTCTGCTATATGCTAAGAATGTATTTTTTATTATTTTTATTGTTGTATACAACTAATGTACAACATTAAGCTAGTTCAGGTGTACTACATAATGATTTGACATTTGCATACATTAAGAAATGATCACCAGGATAGGTATAGGAACCATCTTTCACCGCACAATGTTATTACAATATATGACCATATTCCTTATGCTATATATTATATCCCTGTGACTTACTTATTATAAAACTGGAGGTTTGTACCTTCTAACCCCTTCACCTATTTTGCCCACCACTCTCCATTCTGGCACCCACTGGTTTCTTCTCTGCATCTATGAGTCTGTTTTCACTTTGTTTTGCTTATTTCTTTTGGTTTTTAGATTCCACATATAAGCGAGTTTGTGTGTTGTCTTTCACTGTCTGACTTATCTCACTCAGCATAATACCCTAGTCACAAAAAGATTTCTCCTTTTTTATGGCTGAGTTACATTTTATTGTGTGTGTGTGTGTATACTATATATCACCTCTTCTTTATCCATTCATCTATCAATGGACACTTAGGTTGCTTCCATATCTTGCCCATTGTGAATAATGCTGCAATGAACATTAGAGTGTATACATCTTTTTGAATTAGTTTTTTATTTTCTTCAGGTAAATACCCAGAATTGAAAGTGCTGGATCATAGGGCATTTCTATTTTTAATTTTTTGAGGACTCTCCGTACTTCGTTCCATAGTGGCTTCACAAATTCACATGCTCACCAATAGTACACTAGTGTTCCCTTTTCTCCACATTTTCATCAACATTTGTTATTGGTAGTCTTTTTGACGATAGCCATTCTGTCAGATGTGAGGTGGTATCTCATTGTGGTTTTGATTTGTATTTCCCCATTTAGTGATGTTGAGCATCTTTTCAGTTACCTGTTGGCCATTTGTAAGTCTTCTTTGAAAAAATGTCTATTTAGGTCTTCTGCCCACTTTTTAATCAGGTTATTTGCATTTTTGTATGAGTTCTTTGTATATTTTAGATATTAACCCCTTTACTGGATATATGGTTTGCAAATATCTTCTATTCAGCAGGCAGCCTTTCTGTCTTGTTGATAGTTTCCTTCCCTGTCCCAAAGCTTTTCAGTTTGATGTAGTCTCATTTGTTTATTTTTGTTTCCTTTGCCTGAGGAGACAGATCCAAAAAATATTCCTAAGACTGAGGTCAGAGTGCACTGCCTGTGTTTTCTTCTAGAAGCTTTATGATTTCAAGTCTTACATTTAAGTATTTAATCGGTTTTGAATTAATTTTTTATATAGTGTGAGAAAGTATTGTGTTGGCCAAAAAGTTTGTTCGGGTTTTCTGTAACATCTTATGGAAAACCCAAACAAACTTTTTGGCCAACCCAATAGTTCAGCTTGATTCTTCACTGTAGCTGTCTAGTTTTCTCAACACCATTTACTGAAGAGGCTCTCTTTTTCTCATTGTATATTCTTGCCTCCTTTGTTATGGGTCAATTGAACACATAAGTGTGGTTTTATTTCTGGGCTCTCCACTCTGTTCCACAGATTTATGTGTCTGTTTTTGTGACAGCACCACAGTACTTTGATTACTGTAGCTTTGTAGTACAGTTTAAAATCAGGGAGTGTGATACCTCCAGCTTTGTTCTTTTCTCTCAAGATCGTTTTGGATATTCAGGGTCTTGTGTGTTTCTATACAAACTTTAGAATTATTTGTTCAAGTTCTGTGAAAAACACCGTTGGTATTTTGATAGGGAATGCACTGAATATGTCTTGGGTAGTATAGTCATATTAACAATACTAATTCTTCCAATCCATGAGTATGTATATCCGTTTGTATTGTCTTCAATGTCTTTCAACAGCATCTCACAGTTTTCCAAGTACAGATGTTTTACCTCCTTGGTTAGATTTAGTTCTAGGCATTTTATTCTTTCTGGTGCAATTGTAGATGGGATTTTCTTAATTTTTTTCTGATAGTTTGTCATTAGCATATAGAAATTCAACAGATTTCTGTATACTAACTTTGTATCCTGCAAATTTACTGAATTCATCAATGAGCTCTAATAATTTTGTGTGGAGTCTTTAGCTCTTTAGGAATTTCTACATATAGAATCAAGTCATCTGCAAAGACAGTTTTACTTCTTCCATTCCAATTTGGATTCCTTTTATTTCTTTTTTTCTTGACTGATTGCTGTGGTTAGGACTTCTAAAACTATATTGAGTAAAAGTGGTGAGAGTGGGCATCCATGTCTTGTTCCTGACCTTAGAGAAAATGCTTTCAGCTTTTCACCATTAAGTATGATGTTAGCTGTGGGTTTGTCATATATGGCCCTTATTATGTTGAAGCCTATTCTCTCTGTACCCTCTATACTTTGTTGAGAATTTTTATCATAAATAGACATTGAATGTTATCAAAAGCTTTCCTTCATCTATAAAGATGATCATATAATTTTTATACTTCAGTTTGTTAGTGTAGTGTATTAGGTTGATTGACTTGCAGATATTGAAACATTCTTACATCATGAGAGGAAATCTCACGTGGTGAGAGTTTATTATCCTTTTAATGTATTGTTGAATTTGGTTTGCTAATAATGGTTGAGGATTTTTGCATCTATGTCTATCAGAGACATTGGGCTATAATTTTCTCTTTTTGTGGTGTCTTTTCTGGTTTTGGTATCAGGGTGGAGCTGACCTTGTACAATGAGCTTGGAAGCCCTCTTTCCACTTCAGTTTTTTGGAACAGTTTGAGAAGGATAGGTGTTAACTCTTGTTTAAATGTTTGGTAGAATTCACCTGTGAAGCCATCTGGTCCTGGACTTACGTTTGTTGGGAGTTTTTAAATTACTGACTCAATTCCATTCCTGGTAATATCTGTTCAAATTTTCTATCTGTTCATGACTCAGTTTTGGAAGATTGTATGTTTCTAGGAATTTATCCATTTCTTCTAAATTGTCCATTTTATTAGTATATAATTGTTCATAGTAATTTCTTAGGATCCTCTGTATTTCTGTGGTGTCAGTCATAACTTGTCTTCTTTCATTTATGATTTTATAGATTTGGACCATGTCTCCTTTTTTCTTGATGAGTCTGGCTAAACGTTTATCAAGTTTATCTCTTCAAAGACTAAGTTTTCTACTTTTTTTTTTTAACTCTCTATTTCATTTACTTCTGCTCTGATCTTTATTCTGCCTTTATACTAACTCTGGGTTTAGTTTGTTCTTCTATTTCCAGTTTGTTTAAGGTTGGATTATTTATTTGAGATTTTTCTTGTTTCCTGAGGTAGGCTTGTATCACTATAATAAACTTCCCTCTTAGAACTGCTTTTGCTTCATGCCATAGATTTTGAACCAGTGTATTTCTGTTTCTGTTTGTCTCCAGGTATTTTTCAAATTTCCTCTTTGATTTCTTTGGTGAACCACAGGTTGTTTAGTAGCATATTGCTGACCCTCTATGTGTTTGTATTTTTTGCAGTTTTTCTAGTAGTTGATTTCTAGTCTTAGACTATTGTGGTTGCCAAAGATATTTGATATGATTTCAATCTTAATAATTTTATCAATACTTGTTTTGTGTCCCAGTATGTGATCTATCCTGGAGAATGTTCCATGTGTACTTGAAAAGAGTGTGTATTCTGCTGCTTTTGGATAGAATGTTCTATAAAAACCTATTAAGTCCAACTGGTCTAACATGTCATTTACTGCCAGTGTTTCCTTATTAATTCTGTCTGGATAATCTGTCCATTGATGTAAGTAGGGTATTAAAGTTCCCTACTATTATTGTGTCACTGTAAATTTCTCCCTTCATGTTTGGTCCCAGAGGTCTCGTAAATTATCCTCATTTTTAAAAATTCTATTTTCTTTTTTCTGTTCAGCATAGGTGATTTCCATTACTCTTTTAATTCTCTGATCCATTCCTCTGTATCATCTAATCTACCATTGATCCCCTCTAATGTATTTTTTATTTCAATTGTTTATTTTTCAGCTCTGTTTAGCTATTCTTTATATTCTCTAACTCTTTGTTAAAATTCTCACTGTGCTCATCTATTCTTCTGCAGAGTTCATTGAGCACCTTTATGATCATTACTTTAAATTCTTTATTGGATAGATTGCTTTCCTCCACCTCATTTAGTTATTTTTCTGAAGTTTAATTTTGTCCCCTCATTTGGAACATATTCCTCTATCTCTTTGTTTTGCCAAATTATCTGTATTTATTTCTATGCATTAGGTAGGTTGGTTACATTTCCTGATCTTGGAGAAATGGCCTTATGTAGGAGATGTCCTATGAGGCCCAGCAACACTCTCCCATCTGGTCACCAGAGCTGTATGATCTAGGGGTGCCCCCTATGTGGACTGTGTGGGCCCACCCATTGCAGCAGGTCCAACTTCTCTGGGTGCACTGTAGGCAGGGCTGGCCCCTGGCCTGGTTGGCTGCCAGGTTCTGCCCTTTACTGTGGTCACAGGCCAGCTGGTGGGCGGGACCAGTTCCTAGTGCAGCTGGCTGTGGGGCCCAGGAGATCTTGGGGCTGTGTTGGCCCATTATTTGGTGTGGCCAGGTCTGAGGGCAGCTGGCTATGGGGGCCAGGGACCCCCTGGCTGGTGCTGGCCCACCGATGAGCAGGGTTGGGTCCTGGTCACTGGCTGTAGGGCCCAGGTTGAGCCTGGGGCTGGTGCTGACCTGCTGGTGAGGGGGTAAGCCCCCAGCACTAAAAAGATAGAGGGAGAATTCCCAAAATGGTGCTTGCCAGCCCCAGTGTCCTTGTGGTAGAATGAGCTCCACAAAATGACTGCTGCCAGTATCTACATCCCCAAGGGGAGTTCAAGTTGCTTCCTGCATCTCTGGGAGGACTGCCAAGATGAGCAAGCGGTCTGACCCAGGCTTCTTTCAAATACTGCCTGTGCACTGAAACTCTGAGCATGTGAGATTTTGTGCATGCAAAGAGCAAAGTCTGTTTCCTACAGCCCTCTGGCTCTCCCATAGGTAAGCCCTGCTGGCCTCAAAGCCAGACATTCTGGGGACTTGTCTCCTAAGTGCAGGATTTCCAGGCTGGAGAGCCCAATGTGAGGCTCAGATCCCTTGCTCCTTGAACCTCTGCAATTGTGATTATCCCCTCACTCATGGGTTGCCTACTGTGGGGTGTGGGTGTTAACTATAGCACGTCTCATTATGGTTGGTTCCTTCTTTATAACTTTAATTGTGGAAAATGTTTTCTGCTCGTCTTCAGGTCTTTCTCATCAATATTTGCGCTATAAATACTTGTAATTTTGGTGTGTCTCTGGGAGGGGGTGAGCTCAGGGTCTTCCTGCTCCACCATTTTAGCCACACACTTGGCATTTTTTTTCTAATATTACAAAATAACTAAGAATTATTATTCTCATTATACAAATGAGGCAGATGGGGCTCAGGAAGTTCAGTATTTACCCAAGGTCACACTGCTAGTAAGTCATGAAGCTGGAATCTAAAAGAAGTGCAACTTTGCAATGAAAATAAAATGAATCTTGAAGACTTACCCCCATGTTTCTTACAGTTTATCTCATAAAATCACTACATGTAAAGGGCTATAAGTCCTTCTGCACAAAAGTTCCTTGGAATTAGACTTATAGTTAGAAACTGAAGCCCAGAATAGACAAGCAATGTGACTAAGGTGCATCCCTTTCACACATAGTGTCAGAGCAAAAACCGAACACAAGTCTGATTCTCAGATCACAGCTCTTGCTGATGTATTAGATTTCTTCTGCCATATCTCCCCTACTTTTAACTTACCCACTTTCTCAGCTTCAAATCAATTTTGATTAACTACCTCTAATAAACATTTTTAAAGAAAAAACAATATGATAATGATCAATAATGGATTGACAGCCATCCTGTCACTAGTCTTATACTCTCGGTAATCATCTCTATGGGAAAATGACCACTTGCAGGTAAAAAATTAAAAGGTTATGCTTTGTCAGTCAAAATAGCCTGTCTCATTTTTAAACAATGCTTTAATTTCTTTAGTACATCAGTGCTGTGATCATTGTAAACACATGATCATTGAAAACAAGTCCTTTTGATTTTGCATAAGATAATACCTTCTGGAAAGTGAATAAGATGTGGAATTACTCTGAACAAACATTTTACCCCCAATATTACAACCCTGGGTGGCCCCAAGCATTTACAAATGCTGAAAAATATCTTCAGATACAACTAATTTTATTATTCTTTGTTTCCCTCTGAGCGCAACAGGAAATTCTTAAGCTGCCATTTCAATTGCAAAAACAAATTATGTGTGATCCTTTCCTCACTTCTCTCAGAGTGACTCTTTTTGTTCAAGCAAGGATCAAATAGAAATGGCATATATTAACTTCTAATTTTCTAATGATATCCAAGCCAAAGAAGGTATTATTGACCTAAGAGCCAATAATAAATGCAATAAATCTTTATTCACTATGGGTTATCGCCCAAACTTTTACTTGACTACAGTCCATTTAAGGAAGCAGCATTTTAGTTTTAAGTGTTGATCATAAAATACATAATCATTAATGAAGTAGAGATATATCTTTTATGGGAGTTTCCTTTTTACTGCCTCAGACTGCTCGTCAGTAATAAAAATTGGTTAGAATTTCGCTTTCCCATTAGGTAGAATTATTCCCTTGACTGGTGACATCAGTGTATCTGAAACAACCCATCTGCAAGGCTGACAGCCTGGCCTAAAATGCGCCAATAAAAGGAGCAGAAGCAGGAGTTGGCATTTGAGAGAAAGCTATTGTAGTCAGTCAAAAGCAGGAAAAGTCAGGCAAGACGTATCTATGCATTAGATTGCCCCATACCTGTCATACTTACAGTTATGCTATACATAAATATTTAACTCTTGAATATGTATCTTAAAATAAATAATGTGATTGAATGATTTTTTTTAGAACAAACGTTGGGCTTAACATATTCAAAATACCTTCCATTTAAATAAAAATGTTAGAAACAGAATATTATGTTGAATCAGAGCAATTTGACAATGATTTAAAGTGGGAGCATATGTTATATACTCAATTATGCTACGGTATCTCAAAAATAAATTACTAAATTAAATATTACTAAATGCTAAAAGAATTTTCTTAAATGTATCTCTCTTTTTGATCATTAAAATAAATATATTAAAACATGCAATATAAGTTCACTGAAATCACAAATTATTAAAAGTACTCTGGGATATTAGTAAATTAGTAAAGAACAAATACTGATAGCTCTATCCATGTCAACAAAAGCACTTGAACATTGTTTTCATTTTTTCAGCCCCTTGATGTTGTAGCTTACCCTACAGTACCTTTCTCATGAGTCAGATATTGATGGCTGAAGTCATGGAAAAGGCACAAAAGTGGAGCCACAAGGAACTAGCTGTGGAGACATTATGATCTTCTGCTCAGATATTTGTTCAAGAGAAAGAAATGTGTTTACAGCCACAAACTCCTTTCATCCAGTTGCAAGATCAAAGGAATTAAGATTTCTGTTTTTACCATGACTTTAGAAAGATTTGATAGGGTGTCAACATTTCGGCTCCAGCAGCTAATTCTAATTTCTTTAATGCTATCTGTAATTCTGCGTTGCTTGACAGACGATTAAGGAAATGTTAATGATGCAGGAAGACCAGCGTACGTTAACATAATTATTCCACAGAACACTGCATAGTGAATAAGTTGTCACACATTCCTCTCTATTTCTTTCTAAGAATCTTCTATTTATCTGTATTTAGTCTTGGGATGTTTGATATTCAAAATATAGAAATATCACTTGTTTCAGAAAATACATAAACTTTTCTCTGGTAAATTATGAAGAATTTGAAAAAAATAGATTTGTAAAAGAAAAGAATCTGAAAAGGAGTAGATACGTATATGTATAACTGAATCACTTTGCTGTACAACTGAAATGAACACAACATTGTAAATCAACTATACTTCAATAATTAAAAAAAAAAGAAAGTATCACACTATCCTCAAGAAAAAGGTCTTTGTTATAAATTCAGACTTTTCATGCTGAAAACAAAACAAATTCAGATGCTAATTTTCAGAAAAGTCCATGGTACTGAGACCATGCTACCAAACACACAAGCCTTACAACTCAGAACAATATGAGTGATCATATTTCAAACAGCAAGGGCTTTCTGCAACTAAAAAATATACACACACTAAATGTTAAATTCCAAGAGGACATTATTGTTTAGCATGGCCCTTTAAAATGCCTGACATATTGAGGGACACAGTAAATGAGGAGAAGGTTCTTCTAGGCATAACTGGAATGGCAGAGTATATGAAAGAAAAAAATATATATATATGTATGAATTAATAAAAATACAGACATACATAAAATGTACAAGTCTCATTAAAAGGCAGTGATAATGTTAGGAAGATATTAGCAATTTATATGATAACAATGGTGCACAGAAGTATATAAACTTTTTTCTTTTGTAGCCTCACTCATTATAATCTTGCTTGGATTGTGAAAAATCAAAGCAATGTAACTGCCCAATAATAGAAAATCAGATAAAAATATTTTTGGTACATCAATAATATGGAATAGTAAGCCATCACAAATAATGATGGAAAGCTAATCATAATATATTATTAAGTGGAAAACCAATAAATAAACAAACAAAAATAGGTTACCAAATACCATTGTCGTTTGATTCTGTTTAGATAAAGCCCATACATTTCAAAATAGAAAAAAAAAATCTGGATTATTATACACCAAGTTATTAGCATTGATGAAATTATGCTTTTGTGGGTTTTTTGAAGTTTCTGGTGGTGGTTGTTAATCAATTATTTTCCACCTTTCCCGTAGTGACCACGTACTACTTATGTAATAAAAATAAAGCACTGGGCTTCCCTGGTGGCGCAGTGGTTGAGAGTCCGCCTGCCAATGCAGGGGACACGAGTTCGTGCCCCGGTCCGAGAAGATCCCACATGCCGCGGAGCGGCTGGGCCCGTGAGCCATGGCCGCTAAGCCTGCGCGTCCAGAGCCTGTGCTCCGCAACGGGAGAGGCCACAACAGTGAAAGGCCCGTGTACCGCAAAAAATTTTTAAAAAATAAATTAATAAATAAATAAAGCACTAACTAAAGAAAATGAACCAGTTGTACCAAGTGACATCGCTATCACAAAGTTTGACCACGATTTTACTTCCTAAAATGTGTATCCCTTCAAAATCACTTTCTGGATGTCATTTACAAAGATCCAAATAATTGCTCTCTGGTGACATGAGGTCATTTTAAAGTACGTCATGCTGGAAATCACATGACATCCAGAGTCAGAATTGAGAGCTCCTCATCCTAAATGCTACTTACTAGTTAGTTCAGCTAATTAGACTTCAGGCCCTACCAGCTTCCCAGGGTTATTTGCTAAGCCCAGAAAAGAAGTTTAGAAGAACAAATCAAAGACCAAATATTTACTGTAAATAGCAATTTTACAAAACGTAAGTTCTTGACCTTATCACTATAGATCAAGCACTGTATTACCTAATATCCTTATTTACCTTATTAATATCCTTATTACCTAATATCCTTATTAAGTTATCCTATAACTTATATCCTTCTGCAGAGTCTCTGGAGGTTGCTTCTGTCATTCCTTCTAGTACAATGTATGCGCTTTGCTGTTCAGAGCTTAGGAGGCATTTTCTTCAACTCAACGGAGCTGGACCCATACTTTTCCACCAGTCCCATCAGGGAGTCCCACAGTTCTCAGAGCAGAATCCCCAAGCAGACTTCCTAGAGAACAGGTTACCATCTGAGGATTATAATGTTGAGGGAAATGGACAAAATTCAGAGCCACAGGACTTGCAGAGACTGGCTAGTCCCATAGGACTTTGAACAAACCAAGGTTACCTAACTGTTCTGAGACTCACAGTTTCCTCGAAGTGGTGAAATGGGGGTAGTAATTCTTACTTCCTAATGTTAACGAGAACGAAATGAGAATGCGTGTGCAATACCTAATATAGAAACTGACATAGTAGCCTCTCGATTTTCTTTCTCATATCCTTATTAGCCTGGTATTCTTAAGATAACCATCATTATCACACAAGGCTAATAAAATTTTACCCCACAGCAAATAGACATTTTAGTAAGGCGTCCCAGTATTATCACTAAGAAATGTAGATTTGTGGTAAGTTTATTGAAACAACAAAAATAACTCAAGGGTTCCGAGATGATTATAGCAGCATCTCTAGTCAGGCTGTACTACAGTCTCTCTCCATGAAGTAATCAGAGATGCCTTTATTCCAGCAATTTAATGTAATTAGACCATATGGCTGCTGGTGGAAGTGCAGAAGCACAGCTGAAGCAGTATTTCCTAGCATTTAGAAGTTTTATAAAGTGATGGCAGAGAGTACCTAGGTAGGCTTATCTGTGAACTAACTTTTTTGCTCTGCCCATGCATAAGCCATCAAAATCCTCAAACTGGTGATTTAGCTTCCTTTGCTCAATACTACAGTAAAGTGGGTTTTCTTAGTAAACAAAGCCTTCATTAGTCTTTTCTCCCTCTTAGGAAAGAAATGCCTTATCACATGCTCACATTCATTTATTTCACAGTGACTGCAAATGAGGATCAACAGAAATAATATTCTGACTTAAACCTTTAGTCCATGAAATATCTTTTCAAAACATCAGAGTTTGGGCTAACAGTGCACGCTGCCAGGAACAACTCATTCTGACTCTGAATAGTATCATCAACACCAACAGTAGCCAAGCAAGAAGCAGGGAAAAGTAGGTGATTTGTACCATTTCCATGTAGTGTATTTGGACATCATTTGAGTTTCCAGAACTAAATCAACAGAGCCATTCAACAGCTAAGTTCATTTTTAAACTTCATATGCTGGAGCCCTTTAACATTTCTGAGCTCAAACTTGGAACATGAGTCTTACTAACCAGAAAGGAAGGAAAATGTGGAGATAAACAAACGAGAAGACAGACAGAATCCTTGAGACCACCATATGTTTCTTATTTCATACTAGAATGTTCAGTATACCTAGCAGGATTCTGTGTGCATAATATTTATTAAATGAAATAAAAAGAAAAAGTCAAAAAATTGTAACTATATTGCAACCTCCAATAATTTATCAGAACACACTTTTCAATATATTTAACGATTCCCTGCGGCTGAGCCAAAATCAATTACCTCTGCTTTCTATTTGAACTTTTGCATGTAAAAAGGGATGTTTATAGGATAATATCCCGCTCTATTAATATGCTTTGATAAATAATCAAGTTGATGAGCTCTTCTTATGGAGAAAAGGAAACCCTCCTACACTGTTGGTGAGAATGCAAACTGGTACAGCCACTACAGAGAACAGTATGGAGATTCCTTAAAAATGAGTTGCCATATGGTCTAGCAATCCCACTTCTATGCATATATCTGGAGAACACTATAATTTGAAAAGATACATGCACCTCAATGTTCATAGAAGCACTATTCACAATAGCCAAGGCATGGAAGCAACCTAAGTATCCATCGACAGATGAATGGATAAAGAAGATGTGGTATATATACACAAAGAAATCTTAGCCATAGAAAAGAATGAAATAATGCCATTTGCAGCAACATAAATGGACCTAGAGATTATCATACTAATATGTGTAATCTAAAAACAAAAAATGATACACATGAACTTATTTACAAAACGGAAACAGACTCACAGATTTAGAGAACAAACTTACGGTTACCAAAGGGAAAAGGTGGGGGGAGGGATAAATTAGGAGTTTGGGATTAACAGATGCACACTACTATATATAAAATAGATAAGCAACAAGGACCAACTGTATAGCACAGGGAACAATATTCAATATCTTGCAATAATCTATAATGGAAAAGAATCTGAAAAAGAATGTGTGTGTGTGTATAAATATATATACATGTACATATGTATATATATTTCTCACTTTGCTGTACACCTGACACTAACACAACATTGTAAATCAACTATACTTCAATTTAAAAAAATAATAAAGGCAGTATCAGTAGCATATAGGAAGTGGGAAATCCAAACCACCTGAATCAGTTAATGACAACTCCAATGAAAAAAGACAACTGAAAACAACTCTAATAAGTATTTCAGAAAATGTAGTAAAATTGGGCTCTTTAAAAACAGTCCAAAAAATGTTTTTGAGTCATGCTCATTTTCTTCGTACATTTTTATAACCTTGGTTTTGTAGCATCATGACCTGATAGGAGAAGGATATTATATGTAACACAAGTTATAGGTAATTATGTTCATAGGGAACCCTAATCTGAAGTATCTACAACTGTATATAATGTCAAGCCATATTAAAATGAGATTTTACTAAATTGTAAGACTCTGTTTTCAATATACCATTTGACTATCTTGATTCATTAGTCTCAAAATTTTCTAACTTCTGCTTACTATCCTAGCACCACCCAGCTGAAAAATTAACTTTAAAATGTATTCAGAGGATTAGAGCTTCAGAAATGAAATATGCACTTCCATGAAATGTATCTATTTGAATGAAAAATAAATAAATGGCTTTAACTCCCTCTTCATGTTTTAT